CTCATTGTTGTCCGTTTCCCTTAGCTCCAGTGAGCCTGTTGATTTTTTAAACTTGTAACGTATATAGATATATTGAAGGTGCGTGATCGATCATCTCAGCTGCATCCAGTTATAGTTGGTGATGGCATTTCACCAACATAATGACCTAACTGTAACTGACTGCTTTGTCCTTTTTAAAATTCCTACACTTTCACTAATGAACTGGTGATGCAAACTCAAACTGAATACAGACTGCTTTGAAAGGATGTTGCTTTAGTAAATACAGGGAAGAATGTTCAACCATCAAGCAGAGCTGGTAAAGAGAACAGAGTTATCTGTGATTTGCTGTAACCATCACTTGGCTTTCTGTTTTATTGAAGTGTTAGCTCTCAAACGACTGTCTTTACTTGTTACTCCAGAGTGAGGCAGCATGGGCAGGCATTTCTCTGAATTTACATATTCACAAGGTACAACTGGCTTCTGTCTGTGCTACCAATTCCCAGCATGCACTGGCTCAGCACGTCATCCTTACCAAACAGGTCCTGGCATCATACAACAGGTTCCGTCGTCTCCTTGATTCTTTTCTCAAGATGTCAATGTTTGATTTCCCAATTAATTTGAAGAATGTTTTGCAGTTGGAGGAACTCCTGAACTGTGCAGAGCTATAAAAGTAAACAGGAGTTTGTTCAGGTTACAGTCAGGACAACGAACTGCTTTATCAGCCACACCTCCTGTCCTAATTTTCCCAGCGTTACTCCCTTTACAAATTACAGCACAGACACATGAACAGACGCAGACAAACAAACATGCATACACTTTCTGCAGAGATTGACAGTGAGGGATTCCAGATTCTTCCATCACCTAAATCGAGACACTGAGGACAAATGTCACACCCAGAAAAACTGCCTTTACAGCAACTCACTGTCAAATGTTCATTGATGGAAAAATATCAAATAAGGCCGTGAAATATTTCCATTGAAATATTTGCTGGTTCCGTCAACCTCGGAATAACAGACATGATATCCTGTTTTGTGCTCCTCTCCTGTTTCACAACAACAGCTAGTTCTCAGACAGGATATAACTAAAATTATAAACACCATATCTAAGCAACTGTTTAAAAAGACACCCATAGAGGTCACCTACTCCTGAAGGACTGAGACTTAGCCGAACTCATTAATCCCAGAGCTCAGTGTTCTCTAATTTGCTGCCACTTTCCATCTCCTTCAGGAACAATCTTGTCTATCACCTGATAATGTTACTTTATGTTTCTCTTCCATTCATTGTCCCACTGAAATGAAAAGACCTACAGAGCTATCAGGACATGAGGAAATTGCACGGTTTTGAAAAATGGTCTAAATCTCTGCCTATTGCGTTGAAGTCTTCATATTTTCCATTAACATGTCATGAAAAAACAAATATAGTTTTGATAAAAATGCTCCAGTTACATCTTACAAAAGCCTAAAAATCCTTATACACCTGGGAGATAAGCATCATTCAAACCACAATCGAGGAATATTGCAATGAAATAGAACATACTTGAAGAATAGGAGAACATCCACAGGGAGAGTCTCTACGGCTGGTGTGGTTCTGTTCGAAGTTATTCTTGCAGACATGCACCTCAGCTAAAAACAGAAACCAGTAATACATCCTGAGAACAGAAACACAACAAACCCACACTTGCTGATGTTCCTCACTACTTACACTTCTGACTAGATTTTGGCTAGATGGTGGAACTCTCTTCGGCTCGGTTAGATCCAAAGAAATCGTATTTTTGCAACAGTGAGTACATCATCTCTACACAAACTGAAACTTGGAACTCAACTCAGATACTCATAGATTTTGGTCATTGAAAATTTGGTAAGAGTCCACTTGAAAATCAAGTCAGAACCCTTGTTAATACAACCAAAAGAGAAAGCATATAATGTGGCAAAGGGCAGTGGGAAACCAGAGGGTTGTGAAGCTTACAAAGACCAATGGAGGGCAACAAAAAAAATGAGGGAGAAGATTAAATATGAGGGTAAGCAAGCCAGTAATATAAAGGAGGACTGTCAGAGTTTCTTTAGTTTTATAAGGGCAAAAGTGGATATTGGACTGCTGGAAAATGACGCTGGAGAGATAGTAGTGGGGAACAGGAAATGGCTGAATAATTACTTTGCATCAGTCTTCACAGTGGAAGACACAAGTAATATCCCAAAAATTCAAGACAGTCAGGGGGCAGAGCTGAGTATGGTGGCCATCACCAAGGAGAAGGTGTGAGAAAAACTGAATGGCATGAAGGTGGATAAATCACCTGGACCAGATGGACTACACCCCAGAGTTATGAAGGAGATAGGTGAAGAGACAGCGGAGGTGTTAGTGGTGATCCTTCAGGAATCCCTAGAGTCAGGGAGGGTCTTAGAGGACTGGAAAATCACTAATGTGACACCCCTGTTTGAAATGGGAGTAAGGCAAAAGACTGAAAATCACAGGCCGATTAGCCTAAACTTGGTTGTGGTTAAGATATTAGAGTCTATTGTGAAGGATGAGGTTTCTGAATAAATGGAAGTGCATGGTAAAATAGGGCAAAGTCAGCCTGGTTTCATTAAGGGGAGATCATGTTTGACAAATCTGTTAGAATTCTTTGAGGAAATGATGAGCAGGGTAGACAAAGGAGAGCCAATGGATGTTATCTACCTGGATTTCAAGAAGGCCTTTGACAAGGTGCCGCACAGGAGACTGCTGAGTAAGATAAGGGCCCATGGTGTTAGAGGCAAGGTGCTAACACGGATAGAAGATTGGCTGTCTGGCAGAAAGCAGAGAGTGGGGTGAAAAGAGTCTTTCTCAGGATGGCAGATGGTGACTAGTGGTGTTCCACAACGGTCAGTGCTGGGACCACAACTTTTCACTTGATACATTAATGATCTAGATAAAGGAACTGAAGACATTCTGGCTAAGTTTACAGATGATACAAAGATAGATAGAGGGTCAGGCAGTATTGAGGAGGTGGGGAGGCTGCAGAAGGATTTGGACAGGTTAGGAGAGTGGGCAAAGAAGTGGCAGATGGAGTACAATGTGGGAAAGTGTGAGGTCATGCACTTTTGTAAAAGGAATAGAGGTATGGACTATTTTCTAAATGGGAGAAAATTCAGAAGTCTGAAGTGCAGACAGACTTGGGAGTTCTAGTCCACGCTTCTCTCAATGTAAACTTGCAGGTTGAGTCAGTAGTTAGAAAGGCAAATGAAATGTTGGCATTTATTTTGAGAGGATTTGAATATAAAAGCAGGGATGTACTTCTGATGCTCTATGAGGCTCAGGTCAGGCTACATTTGAAGTATTGTGTGCAGTTTTGGGCCCCATAGCTCAGGAAAGATGAATTGGCCCTGCAGCAGGTTCAGAGGAAATTCAAGAGAATGAAAAGCTTAACATATGAGGAACGTTTGAGGACTCTAGGACTATATTCATTGCAGTTTAGAAGGATGAGGGGGGATCTCATTGAAACTTATAGAATACTGAAGAGCCTGGACAGAGTGGGTGTTGGGAAGATGTTTCCATTGTTCGGACAGCCTCGAACCCAAGGGCACAGCTTTAGAGTAAAGGGAAGACCTTTTAGAACAGAGATAAGGAGAAACTTCTTTAGCCAGAGAGTGGTGAATCTATGAAATTCACTGCCACAGAAGGGTGTGGAGACCAGGTCATTGAATACATTTAAGACAGAGATAATAGGTCTTGATTGTCAAGGAGATCAAGGGTTATGGGGAGAAAGCGGGAGAATGGGGTTGAGAAACTTATCAGCCGTAATTGAACTGCAGAGCAGACTCGAAGGGCTGAATGGCCTAACTTCTGCTCCTATGTCTTATCGCCTTATGGTCTTAACTCAGTCTCAAGTTAGACAGTTGAATGGGGATCTCTCATTGACAGCAGCTTATAACACGGAGAAATGACAATGAGTCATTTGGTCAAAAGTGCTCATTTCCCTCGTCCCTCGACAGAAAAATTTCTGCTCTTAGTGCTGATTTCTGGGCCAGAATTTCTCAATCAGAATTATTTTCTGCAATCGGTTTTTTTATTTGAGATATAAATCAAGCCAACTGTAACAATGGACACTGTATGGTCATACACTCAAAATTTCTCCCATGTGATTGTTTTGAATTGTCTCACCTGACTTTCATCAAACTTGGCCCCTTTCCCCTTCATTGCTTGAACAAGCTGGAGAAACGCTGTAAAATTCAGCTCCTTAACTGCACCACAACTGAAGCCTTGAAGGACAGAAGGTGAGAATCTGAAACAAATAATGGGACCGTTAATTAGTTTCCAAACACTCCATCTCCTCCGAATCACTTCCTTGTGATGAATAGTCCCCATTCGCAGGTATTCATTCCCTCAGTCTGACCTTTACCCATTCCTTTGTCTGTTCAACTTTTTTTCGCTCTCTTTGGGTTCTATTTCCACCTTTTTTTTTACTCCTCTCCCTACCTCCATTCCATCTTCAGCAAATATACCAACCTGTTCCCAGCTACCATCAGTTCTGAGGAAGCGTCACTGGACCCGAAACATTAATTCTGCTTTTTCTCCACAGATGCTGCCAGGCCTGCTGAGTTTTTCCATCAATTTTTTTTTGTTTCTGATTTCCAGCGTCTGCAGTTCTCTCTTTTCTTTGTTTCACTTCCTTTGAACACTGAGGTATCGAGACTATATTAACAGTCATGTGGAACTGAGTTGTGGAATAAGGGCCTTCACATTGGTATTATCCTACTTTCAGGAAGGTCTCTTTAAGACATATGTTCACACATGGATAAAATTTCCAACTCTATTTAATTATTCTACTTATGACCTATTGCAAGTTGTGTAATGGAATGTAGGTTGGAACTGCTATCAATGGGAATGGTTGGTATCTAAGAATTACTGGTACTAATTACTCACTAATGACTAAATGGAGCTTTTTAAGTTGAGACCCAGGAATAATTATCACACTCGACATAGTATTCAGCTGGTACATGTACTCTGACCGAGTTAGTCAGCAGACCACAGCCACAACAGGTTGAATAACTCACTCAAATGAACTAAAATACAAAGGAAATGATATTTCTTCTCTTTGGATTACAAATCAAGGCCCAAACAAAACTAAAATTACACAGATGCTGATGACAGACAGAAGGAAAAATTATCAGAAAGTGAGTTATATTGTAAACAATAATTGCTTACTCTTTAAAATTATTGCTGTTTCTGACCACATTTTCAAAGAACACTGCAGCCTGTAGGAGGAAAGCATTGAAATCATTAATATATACAATGGAGCTAAACGTTCTTATTAACACTAACACAATCTGACTAAGACAACATGTTCAATAGCGTTAGATCTATTCTAATTTTTAACCTAATCTTTGTATTAATGTACATTTTCAATTCCATCTGATCTTCAACTCCCTTAGTTTCATCATGGAGTGTCAGAGAATCAGACTGTTTACCTGACTGGGAACCCATTGCTTGTCGTTGACGTCACTGAGGCTTAAGTTTGAGGTTAACAGGACAGGGGGGACCTCTTTGGCCAGAACAGATGGAATGTTCTTCACTGTTTGTACAGGGTCTTCCACATTCCGCAACACCTGAAAAACAAGGAAACAGAACAGATGTTAATCCTAGACAAAAATAAACCCTGTGAGCAATTTCTGGAGGTCAATATTGTCTTGATACAAAAGCTTCAACTTTGAAAAGATATCTGTGGCAGCCAGAAACAAGTTAGATAATTTTGTTACAGTTGATTGTACAGTCAATGTCACCCACCTGCAGAACACATATAGTTTGTATGGGCTGTGACGCTGTTCCAATATTCTCAACAAATGTTGGATTTGAGATCACATTGATGAACACCCGAGGATTGATGTCTTGGAACACGCCACTTGGAATACCAGACACCAAGCTTCCCAGCCCCAGGAGGTT